ATAGCAAAGATAGTTTCATATTTCCTTAGATATATTTGTGTTTCATGGTCAATTTTTCCCTTGTTTACAGGCCTGTTCTTTTCCTGAGCCAGTAGCTTCTTTAATTTATAGTTTAAGGTTCTAGGAATACTATGTTTCACAGAAATTCATAAAACAATCTAAGCAAGATATTTTTTCCCTCCTCAAAACAACATTAATCCATGAATCAATGGAATGCAGTGAAGTACAATCAAAGATAAATTTAACAGGGAAGAGAGACACAAGAGTCTTTATTAAGGGGAAAATATTGTGCTGATGAGAGGTACCATTTCTAGCTAGCATTCATTATTCTATGTATTAAATAGAATAGAAATAAAATTATCAAAGATTCTCAAGCTAGCATGACCACTGCCCTTTTCATGTTATAGCTCTCATTTGTTTTCCTCCTTTCTAATATATAGTGTGACAGGGTCAGACTGGAGGACTACAACTAAGGCTGTGTCTAAACTACATCCCTCTTTTGACAGAGGGATGTAAATTAGACACTTTGAAATTGCAAATGAAGTGGGGATTTAAATATCCCACTCTTAATTTGCATAATTGCGTCATGGTGCTTTTTTGAAAAATTGCATGATACAAGTATGCAAATGAAGGGCAGGATATTTAAATCCCCGCTTCATTTGCAATTTCAAAGTGTCTAATTTACATTCCTCTGTCAAAACAGGGATGTAGTTTAGACAGCCTAAGAGAGAGAAAGGCAGCTCTAAGGCAGCAAGAGCCCTGGTCAATCAGGAGCAAAGGAGATAGGGCTGCTGTTAATTAATCAGGGCCAGCTGATTTCACCATGGAACATTTTAAAAGGAAGCCCTCCTTGAAGGGGTAGAGAGAGAGAAAGTGAGAGTGGAAGAGGAGTGAGAGGAGACCAGAGCAGACTAAGAAAAGTAACAACAACAACAACAACAACGCCAGAGATAGCGAAGTAGGGGTGAGGAGTTCCAAACAGGGGGTTTGGGCCTACCTTTTCTGGGCAGCCTGAAAACCCAGCTGAGAGCTGGAAAGGGCTATTTCACCTGCACAGCCTGAACCTGGGGCACTGGCCCCAATGTCCTTTGCAGCTGAGGGATCAGAGCCTAAACCCTGCCAAGGTCTAGTAATGCAGTATGGAGACTGCCTGATGAAGGACTGCGCAGGGTACTGGGACCCAGGAGTGGGGATACCCTCCCACAATAGATTGATAAATGTTGAGGTCAGAAGGGATCTCATCTAGTCTGATCTACGCAGCACAAGCTGTCTGTAATATCTCACCCAGTAATTCCTGTATCAAGCTTATCATTTAAATAAATTTGGTCTTCCTTTAAGATGAGGGAGACACTAAACAAGTTCATTTTAGTTAGTAAGGATAAAGAAAACTATTTTTCAGTAAGAATCTGGTAAACCCCATCCTTAAGAATTGGAAAACATATTTTCAATAAAAAGTTATATGCTGCCTACTACTATAAATAATGTATGTCACTGTCCCCATACCATAGCTGGTGATGCAAGGGGTTGGGAGACCTTGGGAATAAGAACAGCCGTACTGGATCAGACCAAAGGTCCATCTAGCCCAATAGCCTGTCTGCCGACAGTGGCCAGCACCAGGTGCCCCAGAGAGGGTGGACCGAAGACAATGATCAAGCAATTTGTCTCCTGCCATCCTTCTCCAGCCTCTGACAAACAGAGGCTAGGGACACCATTTCTATCCCCCGGCTAATAGCCTTTTATGGACCTAACCTCCATGAA